TTTTTTTTTTTTTTTTTTTGGTACCGGGGACCGAACTCGAGCCCTTGTGCTTGCAAGGCAAGCAGCTGAACCACTGAGCTAAATCCTGGCCCTGGATTTTATTTTTAAATGACCTTAGCCAAAAACATCTCCCCAAAACAGCAGGTTCATTTCAATCGAATATTTCACTTTGGACAATTGCTGCCCTTTTTTAGCACTACATGCTGGTACTAGGTCTCCCTGAATGTATGTACCTCTACCCCATCAGCTTCAGTGGTAGCCATAGCAGACAGACTCAGGCCAAAGGGAAGGCAGACCCCACCACTGGGGTGTGGCATAGTGAGCGTGCATGCTAATCTTGTAAATGTTACTTCTGAGCTATATGCCACCTTCCATGGTATTCATGCAGAGGCACACAGAACCTTCTGATCCAACAAAGGCAGACACAGCACTCAGTGGCAGAAAGCAGTGCCACAGAGAGAGGCAACATCTTTCCAGACATGTGCTAGTGTCCAATATTTAGTCTGGCAGAAATTCAGACCAGAAAGTCACTGTGGGGGAATGTGACAATACATATATCCAAGGCTGATGCAAAATTTAAGAGAGGGATCTCTCTGCACCACGAAACAGAAAAGCATTAGGTGTTCTGCTGCCTGATAAGATTACCGCTCCAAGTGCTGGCTTAAATCCCCAGCCTGAGCCTAATTTATTCCGAAGGTTCCTCAGGCGATGAGTGTTACAAAGCTGTACCTCTTGATCCCATCCGTGAAGAGACACACTGAGATGGGGCAACAGAAAGGGCACCTGTAGGCCAGGACTGTCTGTGCAGGGCTGGCTGCTGGCTTCCGCAGGTAGGGAAGGCATCTTCCTGCAGGAACCTGAGGACTGACAGTGTGGTCACATTGGGAGTCAGGGGCAGGCATGACTGCTCACATTGATGCCCCTCCTGGATAATGCGTTGTGACCCCAGGAGGCTCTTTGCTGTTGCCAGCTGTGTCACTCAGTGGAGTTCCAGCTCAGGTTACCTGGGTGCAGGTGCCTTCTGAAAAGCCCTGTCTCCCGGCTGGAAGCCACCTGATCCTGTTTCATCAAGAGAAGCATGTGGAAGTAGAGGGGAGATCCTATGACTGGGGCTGGTCACAGCCACCTCAAAGCATGGATCAGGTAGGAGCCCTGCCCTTGTGAAACTCCTCATTGATCTGTCTCTCACAGCTGCTGCTCTCCTGGGTCCTCCTCCCCATGGGAGGGATGCCAGAGCCTCAGTGGCAGATGGAAACATGACTGTCCAAATACCCATGGGGATGTATTCCATCCACAGGGCCAGCCACCTGGCCAGACCAGCATGTCACCTGGATCCCAGACAGCCTTTCTTGAGCCCTATGGTGTCTCAGTTGTTAAGGGTCCATGATGCCTTGGGATGGCCATTCTCTGTCCAGCAGCCTCCCAAAGCATATGTGCATGTCCTTCTCTGGTTTGTTCTCATCCTGTCCACCAGGTTACTGAAGGCTTTTTTCCGGTGACAGGTGTCATTCCACATTGAGTTCTGTGACCATCATTCCTGAGATCTTCCTAGTGTCTATCACCCCATGAGGGGCCATGGAGTGTCAGAGCCTGGGATGGTGTCTGTTCTGAAAACAGAGGGTTTACACAGCTGCCTGAAGTTTGTCAAATATCCAGACACTTAGTGTTGCAACCAGCCACAGCCTCCCCATGAGCCCACTGATGCACCCACATTTTGCATCCTGTTGCAGGTACTGAGGCTTTGGAGAGAGGAAGATATGTCCTGGCTCTGCTGTTCACTAGCTGTGTAAGCTGGGCAAAGTTGCTTAACATCTCTGATCCTCAGTTCCTTTAACTCTCAAGTGAAGATACAAACTCTTGCAGGGCTCAGGAAGATCACAAGAGATGCTACACCAAGGTGTAGTTGTTATGGTTTGGGGTTTTCCTCTAAGCAAGGCATTGGAAAGACAATGCATCTCGTATAGCCCATGAAAATAACTCTGGAGGGACTTTGGATCACAATTTTAAGAAAAAAGAGATGAGCAAATGTTATGGTTTACATATAAAAATTCCTCCTAAAGTCTCATGTTTAGGAGGTGATTAGATCAAGGGGGCACTATACTCATCAGTGGATTCGTCCATTGATGAGATCAGTAGCTGAACGTCCTGTTAGGAGGTGGGTCACTGGGGTTGTGACCTGGCAGGCTGTATCTCCTTCCCTGGCTCCTCTGTTCTCTCCTTGCTTCCCAGCTGCCATTATGTAAACAGCTTTCCTCCACCAGGCCCTCCAATCATGCCATTTTTGCCTTAGAGCTAGGCAACCATGGACTGAACCCATTAAAACTATGAGCCAAAATAAACCTCTTCTCCTTCAAGTTGCTGGGTCAAATATTTTGTCCCATTGAAGGGGAAGTAATTAATACAACTTTTCAGAAACCAAAAGCAGAGGTCCTTCCAGCCACAGCTGGGCTTCTGGTTTAATCATGCATCACAAGGGGCATGCCAGCAAGGTTCGATGACACAACTTCCTGGAAGCAGGGAGGACTGTGATGCCCCCATTGTGCTCTGGAGACATCATCCAGCCTGTCGGAGATGGGAGAATTCAGACACTAGCCTGGCCCAGTGGGCATGTGACCCAGAGCAAACCAGGTGTCCTTTATTCCTCAGTAAGGGCCCCAAAGCAGGTGGTGTCAATGAGGGATTAATAATTAGGTTATATCAAATGGTCTATTCTTAAATATTAAACAAAACAGCATAATAAGCTTGTAAACCTTTTAGGTTATTTTCAGCATAGTGACAATTTTTAAAAACTGTATTGAAACTTCCTTTTCCTGATTTTTATTACGGTAAAGGTGGCATAACAAAATTTACCATTTTAACTAGCTTTAAGTGTAGACTTCTATAACATTAAGTACATGCATGTAATTCTGCAATTGTTACTACCATCCATCTCCAGAACTTTTTTTTTCAGCTCTGGAAATTGAGCTCAGAGCCTTTGCACTGCGCTACATTTCTAGCCCTTTCATATTTTTTTAAATTTTTAAACAGGCTCTTGCTATATTGCTAAATTGGCCCAGGCTAGGCTTGAACTTATAATCCTCTTGCCACAGCCTCCCTGAGTGCTGGATTACAGGTGTGCACCATCAGGCCCAACTTCTCTGGAACTTCTTCAATATTCCAAACTGAAACTCTCTTCCCATTAAATACTGACTCCTCTCCCTCCGTTCATGGGCAACCAGTTTTTCTATTGAAAGACCAAAGGAATCTCCTGTAGGTAGTAGAAGGCTTTCAAAGAACCCCCTTCTTCCACACTACACTTGAGAATGCTGTTTTCTTGGTATAGGACCTTTATCTGACCTCTCAGACGAAAGCACACACAAAGGCATGAACATATGCGGAAGTATCTGGCCCCTTTGGAATCATCAGATGTGCCTTTATTTTGCCCTTGCTGAAAAGAGCAATATAATGTTTATAAAAGAACACTTGCAAAGAAGAAAGGCTTGGACCAAACCCCGATCTTCCTGAGTTGTTGACAGCTGTTATGTACTAGAAACCTCGGTGGGAACAAAGAAATCTTACAGCATTGTCTCAGCGTGAACATTGGAAGTGGCTTCCTTCCAGAGCCCGGGATCCAGGGGCTGGCTCTGTGGTGGAGCCTCCTGAGTGTCTTGCTTTCTTCCTATGGTGGTTGTTGATGCAGCTGTGAAGGAGTCTGGGGAGCATCCTGACACGGCCATTGCCTGCAGCCAGAGGTTCCTAGGTTATGTCACTTCTGCTTGGGCACAGGGCCTGGACTATAATTAGAAAGCATGCATTCACATTAGAAGGAGTCATGGGCCTTCTCAGAACCCTAAGGCAGGGGCACCGAGCATGTAGATTTTCCTGGAACACCAATGGATGTCGGGGCGGAGGGATCTGGGGCATGAAAGAGAAATGGAAAGTAGCTATTTTTTTTCCAGAAAGGGTGGTTCCTGCCCATCAGGGATGGTACCTCCACACTGTCTATTTGCTTCTCGTTGACATCCATTGACAGTGCCAAGTGGCCCATTTCAAGCCCTGGATGCTGTTCCAGGAACCTATTTCTCAGCCTGAACACTGACTCACCATGTGCTCTACTGAGTCATCTCGGGCTCACTCTTTTCCACCAATAAAACAGGATTAGTAACTCCTGCCCTGGTTGCTGGACTCATGAGAAAATTTGTGTGCAAGAGACTTGAAAATCAGAAAGCGATTACTGCATGTCATGGGGCAGTGTCCCTCATGGGGCTGACCTGTGGGAGGGGTTTGGGTAGAGCCCCTGACAGGGGGCCATTGTGGTAGGGATATGTGCTGGGTTGATCCCCTCAGCCCTCTGGCTTCAAGCTGTCTCGACATTTATCTTCCACAAATATTCTCATTCCTCAGAGGGACCATGATAGGTGACCATGATGGCTGGAGAGGTCTTGTTTAGGAGGCACTGGTGAGGGTGGGTATGAGCAGCCAGGAAGAGTCCTGGACAGGCCCCCACCATACACTTTGATTATTCCTAATAAGTTCCAGATAAGAAGACTTCGGCTCCTTCTTACAGACCTACCCTAGTGTATGTAGCCCCCTCGGTCTTTCTTACACCTAACTGGAATCCATTCCTACCACTTGCAATAACTCTTGCATGCCTTTCTTAGATCAAATTTTCTTAGGTCTAATTTCTTAGGTTAGATTTTTGTACTATTACTTTACTGCTTATGAGGTCAAATCTGGACAAGACTGCAGGTTCCAGTCCTATCCAGGACAGCCATTCATTCAGTCAATACTTACTGACCACCTACTATGTGCCAAGCTCTCCTCTGGGCAGTGAGAGCACGGTGGTCACTCTCACCCTTGTTCTAGAGGGAGGGACTGGCAATAAAAAATAAGTCAAAATTGCCGGGGATTTAGTTCAGTGGCACTGCACCTGCCTTGTAAATGGAAGGTCCTGAGTTCAATCCCAGGTACCAAAAAAAAAAAAAAGTCACTAGAATTCTGCATACAAGTTGTGTGATCCCATGCTATACAGTCTTTCAGGGTTTCATTTCTGCAGAATTACAACACAGATGATAACAGCTTTCTGGGAGGGGGGTTGTTGCAAAGATTGAATGCATTAATATATACAGGGTATGGCTGTTTACCAAGTGAACAGCAAAGGACTCATGTAGTACATGTGAACTGCTCTTATTCACCTCTATGGTTGCATTGTAAACCTTGTCTAGGCTGCAGGTCTGATTGTTCTCTGTCTCCTCCATCAGGACTCACTAGGCTTTGAGACCTCAGGTTCCCCACCTGCTGAGGAAGGGATTTGGGCTTCCATCTCTGGGCTAGAGCGAAGATAGACAAAGTGGACATAAACAGGAATGTACCCAGTGGTGCTCAGAATAGGGGCCCAGGTCCTGTCGCCCCCAACTGTTGGCACAGCTCCCCAGAAGGATTTCCACTTCTAATGTTGCTCCTGTCATCCATGATTTATTGCTGGTCACGTCTGTTCTTTGCAAGTCCTTCTGTCCCAGCTTCATGACAGATGCGTCTTTCATCACAATCCTCAATCTGAGCAATCTTGGAGCTGGATTGTTTAACTTCATGGTCGCTTGTCCCCAAACTGATCAATGGACTTTACAGGCTGTCCTTTTCTGTATATGTGCTGCTGAAGTGAGCATGTGGCTGTCCTTTTTCAGGACAAGGACCTTAGACCAACTGGTTCTGGCACAGAATTCAAGAAGGGTGAAGAGCATGTGTCCATTTTTCAATAAGCATGTCTACACACAAGAAGGAGGGAGCCATCTACAGAGGGCGGTGGCAGCCCCCACCATCCCCAGAAACCCCAGGGAGAGATCCAGCCTGGGCAGATGTCAACCGGAAGTGTGTGAGCTTGTGGCTCCGTGAAGCCCACCCCCTTCCTGATGCTCAAATCCCAAATGAGCAACCACAGAATTTCTGTGTCTGAATCCTTCTAGGGATGGTGCTGTGGTTTCAATGTGTCTCCCAAAACTTCCTACATTGGAAACGGAATCTCTACCTTCCTATGTTGATGATATTTGGAGGAGGGGCCTTTGAGAGGTAGTTAGGGTTAGAAGAGACTGCGAGAGTGGTGCCCTCAAGATGGCCTTAGTGGCTTTGAAGAAGAGAAAGAGAGACCCAAGGTAATACACTTGCTGTCTCCCCATATGTGCCTCATTATGAGGTGGCAGGCATAGCACCTCGCTATTAGACTTCCCAGCCTCTGAATGGTGAGAAGCGAGTTTATTTTCTTTAGAAATTACCCAGTCTGTGGTTTTCCATTATAGCACCAGGCAATGGACTGAGACAGAATAGTCACTTCCTCTTAACACAGCCTGTTTGACTTATTCTTGATTCATTTTGTCCACTGATTTTTTGAGGCATAACTTACACAGGGTAAAATGTGCAACTCTCCTAAATATACTGCTCAATACACTTTCACACCGGCACCTGCCTGTGCACCCACATCCAAGGCCAAGACAGAGAACATCTCTGTCATCTTCTTCCCTTGCCTAGGGAATCCTCCTCCCCAGGCTGGCACTTGGCTTTGTCTGCCCTGAGACTCATGGAGGTGGGATCACACAGTAGTCACATGTCTGTGTCTGCTGATCCAGTCCATTCTGAGCCCCTTGCTCATCAGCATCCTAAGCCCCTGCTGGCTGGTGAGCTCTGCCCATCTCCTTAGCTCTTCCACAGAGGGCTTTTATGGGGTCACCTCCCCTTGCCCCCTGCTTCTTCTGATCCTTGCTCGTTTTGTAGTAAGACTATGGCCACAGTCCTGGTGCTGTGCTGTGAGCAAGGAGCATGCACGTATAGGAAGCTGATGACAACAGTCATGTCCTGATGCTCACCTTCTGGCTGGCCTGGGCACCTGGTCCTACCCACAGGTTCGGGACTGTCTAGGGGTCCTCTGCATAAATGCACCCAGAAAGGGAAGAAAGGACAGTTTTGTCTAGGGACTGAACTTTGGGTTCAGTGGTTTTAGAAAATATGAAGACTCAAAGAGATCTGTACTTTGGGAATCAGTTCAGCGTGGTGTCCTGGAGTAGCAGGGCAGGGAAGCATTGGGATAATTATTGTGCTGCAGTCCACAGATGACTGTGGCCAGTTCCCTCCTGTGACAAGGTGAATAAGCCCCACTGCATTCCACAGGACTATGGGGAGCAGCAGGCAAAACACAGCCAGGAGAAAAGGCCTGGCCACAGCAGCTGCTTGGCACAGGTAGGTAAATGTGGGTGTGATTAAGGGCTCAGCTGAGAGGGAGCATATCCTATTTTTCTTTCCTGGTTTGCTTGGAACACTCCTGCTTTACCTCCTTATATTCTTTGCCTGTAAACACATTGCCTTTCCCTTCCCCTGTGCTGCCCTGGGTACTACCTCCCCAGGTACTTCCTCTCTCATTTGCAGCTTCAGTTTCTGTGGTTTCAGTCACCTGTGCTCAACTGTGAGCACACAGTTGAGCACTGTGTCTGAAAATATTAAAAGGAAAATTCCAGAAATAAACAATGTATGAATTTTACATTGCATGATGCTGAGTATCACAATGTACTCTTGAGCACCCAATTCCATCCACCCAAGACATGAATCATCCCTCAGCCCATTGTATCCATGCTGTATATGCTACCCTCTCATTAGCCACTTAGTGACTGTACCTTAGTTATCAGAGCCACTGACAGTTTAGTGCTGTGGTCAAGTAGCCTTTACTTAGAAGGACAACATTGTCACAACGCTGTATCACCTCATTGTATAGGCACTGTACCATCTCACGTCATCACAAGAAGTACAGTGCAATAAAATATTTGAGAAAGAGGAGAGACCACAGTCATATAACTTGTATTACAGTATGTTGCTGTATTTGTTTTATTCTATTACTAGTTATTGTTGTGGAAATGAAGTCAGGTGACATTCCAATTTAAAGCTACAGAAATTTGTGTCTAATTTATAAATTAAACTTCATCATAAGGATGTCTGTATAGGGACAATATAATCTATGTAGGGTTTGGTACTATTAGTGGTTTCACGCAAACCTTGTGGGTCTTGAAACATGTCCTCCTCAGATATGAGGGAGTGTGACTGTACTCTGTCCTCCTTGCTTTGTGCCCTCCTAACTCACTGCTCCTTCTCAGGGAATCCTCCTCAAGGCCTTGCCCTGCTCTGACCTACACAGCCCCACCTCTTCGTACTAGTATGGGGCTGTCCCAGGAGATCATGTGTGTGCTGGAGTTTGGCAACCTTTGTGCTCTAGCTTTGTTGCTATCAGCCATCCTGGGATGCTCAGGACCATGGTCTTATGCAGATGTGATTTAGATTTCTCCAGATATTAACAAACTGAGGCCAGAGGCTGAACATCTGCCCCAGACTCCTGAGACAGTCTGCCTTCAGCTTCCCTTAGGCCCTCAAGCCTGCTGTCTTTGGCTGCTCTACATTGAGTTCCTCTACATTTGCTTTTTCTCACCCTTTTGTTCTCTGAGGATCTGGGCTAAGCCTCACTTGGAACTCTGCACTTATTTTTGACCAGATTAAACACTCAAATATTAGCTTTATTCACGGAAAATGAAAAGAACAGATATATCAAGCAAGATGTTCTTACACGTCAATTATTTGTGGCTAGGCCTAGCCTTGGGTACGGGGAGTAGGACCCATCCATTTGGTCCAAGGGCTGTTTGCCGAGAAGGTGAAGGTCAGAAGAAGAGCATGGAGGCTGAGGGGTTAATTTTCCTCATCAGTCCCCTTTTTGCCTCCTGTGCACCAAACACCCTTGAAACATCCCCTGCAAATTATTGGAGCT